GGTGGTGGTGGTGGTGGTGGTGGTGGGATGGAATGAGCGGGCTGATGATGGAGGACGGGAGGACAATATCTCGCAGGCTGACTGACCCACAATCTCCAATATATTCACCTTCTCCACCGGCTCAGGGTCTGATTGCTGCTGCTGCTGCTGCTGCCTCTGCTCGCCTCCCCGCATTTGGCGCCCCAAATTCCGCGCTCTGGACTTGGAATCCCGAATCAGCGCGCTCTCGCCAATTCCGCTCGCTTTGTCAACAATATCAGTCGAGGCGCGCACGGTGGCACAGGCAGTCAAGTGGATGGTGGTGACGATGGATTGGCTTCAGTTTGGGTGCGGCTAGTACGGCCGCCCTCGGCGAGCACCGCCACCGGGTCCGCGCTCCATGCCTCCACGATTGCCCGGACGATTGGGGTTGGGGCACATGTTGGCAAAGTGGCCGTAGTCGCCGCACTTGAAACAGAGCACTTCCGACAGATCCTTCTTCCAGCCGCGCCCTGCATCCGGTCCTCCTTGTGGTGCACCAGGGGCGAAGCCGTTGTTGGGTCTGCGTGGCATGGCCGAACTTGCATCGCCTCCACCGCCGCCCGGTGCGCCGTATCGACCGGGCATGCCGCGATCGCGCCTGCCAGCGTCGCCAAAGTCGTCGCGCCCTCCGCCCATGCCGAATGCCTCTGCGGCGGTGAGCGGACGATGCGTCAAGATGGGTGAGTTGGAGCGGGATGATGTGGAAGGCGGCATGCTCTTGATGCTGTTGCGAAGAATGATGTCAGCGACGGTCAAAGATGAGCCAGGAAGAGGGGGGAAACGAGAGATACTCACTGTCCGCGTGGACACTCGGCCCCTTGTGGGCAGAAGCCGGCGAGGTAGAGGGGGCAGGCGATGCGTCGGATGTGCTTCTTGGGGCAGAGCGGGCCCTTTGGACAGAATCCGCGGTTGTACCGTTCGCACTCTCTGCGCTTGATGGCGGGGTCGACGTGGAGGTAGAGGCAGTCGTCTCCGCTGTTGCAGAATCCAAAGGTGGCGTAGAAGCGGCACTCGGGGATCCTGCGCATGTCGTACTCGTGGAGGTAGTCGCACTGCTCGCCCTTCTTGCACAGACCTCTGAGCCAGTGCTTGCATACGGTGCGCTTGTTGGGGTCGCGCAGCGCATTGGAGCCGTGCGGCAGGAAGTTGAGCTGGCTCGGCTTGACGTGACGTCGTGGACACGCGGCGCCGCGCGGACACTGCAGACGCTCGGCGTAGTCGGGGCAGATCTGCGCGTCGTTGTCCAGCTTGACGCCGAGGTTGGCCTTGACGTAGTGCTCGAAGCTGAACTCGTTGTGGATAAAGTCGGCGGGCGACGAGGACGAGGGTGCGGCGGTGCGGTGCTGGGTGATGAGCGGTCGATGCGACGATGGTGCGCCGTGTGCTCCGCCTGGCGCACCGTATTGGTGCATCGTGAGTGGCGCGTTCATTTTGTCGCTGCCGCTGCCGTTGCCGTTGCCGTTCCAGAGGATGGTGGTGGTGGAGAAAGGTCGAGCCAGGCTGAGTCGGTGCTGTCAGAGAGAGTAAAGGAAGAGCCGCTTCTGAACCCTGGTCGAGCGAGCCACGGCAGCTTCCGACTCGAGCCTCGCGTCCTCGTCGAAATCGAAATCGGGTGAAATTCGAGGGAGATCCCCCGATGCCGATGGCTCAGTCCGACTTCCGAACTCTGACCCTGGCCGGTGCGGATTTTTTTTTTCTTTTCTCGTTTTCTTCGATTCGCCACGGCGCGGCGGCAGTTCAGTTCAGGGTTCAGTGAGTCGGCACAGCGCCAGTCGACCACGAGAGAAAAACTTTCCCGCCCGCTCGCATCCGCCTTCTCGACCACCACCTTCGCATCCTCTCACCCACGCCGCCGCCATGAGGATCGAGCACTGCTTCTTCTGCTCCGCGCCCTGCTATCCGGGCAAGGGCATCACCTTCGTGCGCAACGATGCAAAGATCTTCAAGTTCTGCAAGTCCAAGTGCCACAAGAACTTCAAGCTGAAGCGAAACCCTCGAAAGGTACGATGGACAAAGGCCTTCCGCAAGGCCAACGGCAAGGAGATGACGCTCGACTCCACCCTCGAATTCGAAAAGAAGCGCAACGTCCCCGTCCGCTACGACAGGCAGCTCGTCCTCACCACCCTCAACGCCATGAAGCGCATCCAGGAGATCAAGACGCGCAGAGAGATCGCCTTCTACAAGGCCCGCATGGCAAAGGCAGGCGTAAAGGCAAAGGCAAAGGAGGCAGACCGTCTGCTCGTACACCGCAACGCCCACCTCCGCGCCTTCATCGAAGCCTCCAAACAATCCGCCGCCGCCGCCTCCTCCTCCAAGATCAAGGTCAAGGCAACCTCTGCAAAGCCAAAATCCGCTCTCGTCGGCGCAGGCAACTCGGCCATGTCCATGCGCATGGACACCGACTAACTCCTCGCAAAACTCGTCTCCAGCCTCGCTCGCATCATCGTCTCCTCCAGCATACTGCCCATGCTTGTATTATACCTCGATTCACACGTCCCTTGCATACGCATACACCAGAATCAATCTTCTTACGGCTCCAAACTTCGCACGCACGCATCCTGCCAGACCGCATCGCCACGGCCTACTTGCAAGGCCTACCGTGCCCAGAATCAGCCCTAGGCTTGCCGAAGAGCTGCACACACTCGCCAGCCTGGAGCACAGCATGAGCTGACCGCGTCCATTCACATGCCTGCACCACACAACGTCAGTCAGACAGGCATCATGCCGCGTCAGATTCCAAGCGTACAGCCTCGACATTTGACTGTCACGATTACTGTGCGCTCATCATCTGACACAACTTTGGGCGCTCCGTTGCTTCGTGCTTCGTCTTACGTCTCCATCCCGCATCATAGTTGCTTCATGAGTCTCGTGTCGACGACCCCTCGTGCCAGGTCAGCAGTCAAGAGTCAGAGAGCTATCATGCGCGTTCTCATACAGAGACAATCCGAGGTCCCACAAAGGTGGCTCTCGGACCAACACCCAACACCCAGCCCCCTCCTCCTCGGCGGTCGCGATCATCATTCACGTCATGACAAAACGTCTTGTCCTGCTCCGAGCTGGCGGCTGGCTACTTTTAGCCATCAGGCATCAGAAGTCGTCTATGAAGTTGGCTTCGCGCGCACATCTCACGTAGCATTCGTAACCGGCTCTCTTCGCCTCACCCCTTCAGAGTCATGAGTGGCAACACAACGTCCGCATGTTACTTGTATTGAGGTGCGGGCACGAAAGGCGATGACCACAAAAGCTCTGGGGCGACTGCTAACACATGGCGCATCATATCGAAAGAGCGGAACCTTGCACGCTCGAAGGCGACAGCCGGCCCTGATGGCATGCTTGTTGGCTTCGAGTCGCCAGTCGGAGTCATCAGCTCGGTCAGTCGGCTTTGCGTACACGCTAAGCACCCCGTGAATGCAACTGACGAGTCAAGTCGAACCGCATGGCACAGATGGGGTTGAGACCCGGAAGATGATGACAGGATGCGTGGATCATCGGACGGAACTGCAAGCTCCAAATTCATGATTCATGCACGTAATTTTTAAAATCATATTTGTATCGACCCTCTCATGCTTACCGTGACACACGTTGAGGTTGCTCTTACGACCCGCATGTGCAGAGGGCAGTCAATTAATTTATCGGGAATCGTGATTATCTCTCCTCTCGTCATGACGTTGACATTCAGGCTTGCCGACGGTCGCACGGTCGATGCCGACGTCAAAGACCTTGTCCTCCTACAACAAAAAGGCCATCAACGGAGCAATACCTTTGCTCTTGGAGGCTCAAAACTGGGATGTCGTTGGATACAGGGGACTCAGGAGGATGGTTGGCTGCAAGCATCTCAAGGCGACCAAGAAGGTCAAGGACACTGCACCCAACCACAAGCAAGCAGGCGGTGCAGATTGCCTCCACCTTGCCCAAGAGCTTGGTCATTGGTGTGAGTTGTATATGCGCACGTACCACTGGAAATTGCTATGTTACAACATGGAACAAGCATTGCAAGTCGGCACAAGCCTACCCACTTTCGTCTCTTTTCCTCCGCCCCTGCGGACAGCTGTCCACAGGGGTTGCCCACTACGCTGGTCTGGTGTTTCTCAACACCAACATTGGAAAGGATGTTGACTTCTAGGTCCTCCTGCGCAATCTTGACACCTTGTCAACAGGCACGTTGAGTCCCGCCACCAGCGCTCCCGCCACAGCGTTGCCATCCATCCGGCATCAAGAGGGCATGTCGGCGCCATGACGTTGACGTACAAGCTTGCCGACGGTGGGTTTATCGACGTCGACGTCGAAGACCTGTCGTCATACGAACAATTGTCCAAGCGCCGTCTGGGCATGATCACTCAACAAAAATTCGTGATATCTTTCCGAAATTTAAGAACTTCAATTCCCATCTTTGGCGAAAATGCCTGAAATCAGTTGCAAAGCTCAGGGTTTTGAACACAAGACAAATGAACTAGGATTAGCGAGGGGCACATCAACAAAAAATGCAATTGGGAAGACAAGATCACGGACAAACAATAATCACCCGAAGGCCTCTCGTGACACTTCTGCCCATGTGAGCTCAAAAAGAGATATATTTTGTCATCAGAACTAGACAAGCGAGAGCAATATCATGAATTTCGACAGGGTTCCGCAATCGAACTGCAAGTTCGAAGAGGTATTTCTCAAAATCATTAAATCAATGATCGTCTATCGCAAGAGCTTCGAGGCTTTGCGGACCGCATCGACTCGCACTAGGCTCTACGTAGATTACGAAGGTAAAGTCTCGTCATGCCTGTTGTTTATTGCTGAATCATCGTCGCCATCCTTGCTGTTTGACCTGAGCATCGGCCCAGTTGACAAATGACGAAAGCTGATGGCCGAGCCAGATCAGGATGCGCAATTGATCTCGCAATTTCTGTTCCGCTTTCCAGTCAAATTAGTCAAGCTGGCGATGCAATCGTCGTTGAGCGCTCGAGCTTTCAACACAGTGTGATGCGGTCGCACTTCGTCCAGGGATTGAATCACGAATGATTCACAATTTATACTTTGCGGCGTCATATACTCTGGCGAACCAATCAAAAGCTGCGTCCGTCGCTGATAGAGACGCGACTGAGTAATCTATGCCTGGAGACTTGCACTTACATTTGCAAAGGGTCGAAGCCAGAGATGAGTGCGCTCGAGCAAGCACGAATCATAAATTTGAGCAAAGTAAAAATCATACATCACAAAAGTGGCTGACTTATGCAATTAAAAATTGAGGATTGACGCTCGGAAAGAATCACGGTATATCCGCAGCTTCACTTGTAATGTTTTCTAGTTGGTATGTACCAAAAATACAAGGCGAATTTCATGATTCTCAGAGGTGGATCGTAGTCTGCTGGTCTAAATCACTGTACGGCTCCGAGCCCGGCTCATGATCCAGGTCCACGTGTTTAGACACAGCAATCTATCAGTAACGTGCATCATGTTGACGTTGGCTTTCTGCTTCGCGACTGGCGCCTCGGCACCTTGAACCAGACTCGCAACTGGAGGCGCCGAAGCCGGCCTTGTGATCCCTGAGGCAAGCTCGTGCGAAGGTGGGGCCAAGCCGGTCACTCGCATGAAAGTCGATGGATGGAAAGGGGCTGCGGGCGAGCGAACAGTTTTCAACGATTTTGCGCTTTACCGCCGGTTGGCTGTGCGTGCCGAGGTCCCTGCAGAAGCTGCCGAATCTGCAGCCAAAGTGGGTGGGAACCCGCCGCACTGCTCTGTGGGGGCGATGATGCAGCGTCACAGCCACGTCTCTGTGCCTGCATGCCAGCCACCATCATCTCGGTGAAAAGCCCCCACCACAAAAGCTCGTCTTTCAGCTTCGTCGACTGTCCCAGCTCATTCGCCATGGTCAAGCGACCGTCTTGGTTGGGTGGCTCACGCGCACGCGCACACTCACATGCCCCGGGCAACGGATCGTCAACACCGCAACCCTTGGCCGCTGCATCGATCGAAAGCGGACACACGACGCTTGCTACACGCTCCGCGGAGAAGCTAGCGCCTGACGCTGCCGCAAGCGCCAAGAACACGAAGCTCAAAAGGGAGGGCGGCATCGACGCGGTCATCGTCGGAGCCGGGCTGTCTGGCCTCATCGCCGCCGATGAGCTCTCGCGCGCCGGCCTCAAGGTCAAGGTGCTCGAGGCCAACGATCGCGTCGGTGGCAGGACGCTCGACAGGCGCCTCGACGGCGGCAATGCCATCGAGATGGGTGGACAATGGATCGGCCCAGGCCAGACCGAGATCCTGCAACTCATCCAGGAGCTCGGGCTTGACACGCACAACACCTACGACCAGGGTCAAAACATCTATCGCTCAACCTCGGGCAGCGTCAAGCGGTACAACGAGATGATCCCCTGTGGTATCGTCGCGTCGCTCGACTTGCTCATGGCAACGCGCAAGATCAACAGCCTCTCCAAATCCGTGCCTGCCAAGACGCCGTGTCGAGCCAAAAACGCGCGCTACTACGACGAGAGGTCCATCGGCACATGGATCGACGACTCCATGTGGACCTTTGAAGCCAAGCAGCTCTTTCGCATGGCCATCAAGGCGGTGTACGCCGAGGATGCCGAGTCCATCAGCTTCTTGGACCTGCTGGCAACCGTCGCAGGCGCAGGCGGTGACATTGAGCAGGTGCTCAGCGACGCACAAACAACGCGGATCGTGCAGGGTCCACAGGAGATCAGCCAGCGTCTCGCCGACCGGCTGCCAGAAAGCACGCTCGAGCTCGGACAAAAGGTGTCTGGCATCCACAAAGTCGGCGGAGACATGTACGAGGTCTCGACATCGCAAGGCGAAACCTACAACGCTCCTGTGGTGGTCATCACACCTCCCCGACCGTTGATATGCCAGATCGATTTCAAGCCCCAGCTACCCTCCGGTCTCATCCAGTACTATCGTCGACAGCCGATGGGCTCTGCGATCAAGTTCAACGTGATCTACTCGACACCTTTCTGGCGCGAGGCCGGTCTCAGTGGTGCCATGATCAACGCCGACGAGACAAGCCCTGTGCAGATGACGTACGACAACTCTCCTGCCGACGGCAAGCAAGGCGCGATCGTTGCTTTTGTGCTGGGCAACAACTCTCGGCGCTTTCTGCATCAATACCCAGACGCGGAGCAACGCAAGCAAATTGTGCTCGACTTCCTCGTGACTCTGTTCGGTGCTCAAGCGCGCGAGGCGATGCAGGTGCTCGAGATGAATTGGACGCTCGCGCCTTTCGCCACCGGAGGCTATGGCTCCTTCAATCCACCGGGCGTGCTCACCAGCTTTGAAGAGGACGAGCGCGACGAGATGTCTCGAGTCGGCAACCTTTACTTTGCCGGAGACGCAACGAGCGAGATCTGGCAAGGTTACATGGAGGGCGCTCTGCTCTCGGGTCGGCGAGTCGCCAGCCGCATCGTCGAGAGTTTCGAAGCGCCCAGCGAGGGTGCCATGTAGGTGCGCGGACTATGTAGAAATACAGACATTGCGTGCTAAGCATCAAGCGGCAATAATCCCCGCGGTCAGGTCTGTCTTTGGGCGGCTTATTCCGGTAGGCACCCGCCTGCGATCATGAGGCTTCTCACACGAGAACCCCCCGGGGTAACTCAGCGGTGGCTCCTCGTCCAGATTTGATGAATTTGATGAGCCGCAAGCAGATGATTCCAGCCCCGTTCCCCTCTGCCCTCGCCGCACTGATCGCACCATTGAAGCGTCAAGTGGCGCAGCGCTGTCCTTGCCAGCGAGCCTAGATCCGTGGCAAATGGATCTCGTGTTTCTTGGTCCCGCCTCCTTTCGGATTGTTGTCCTGTCCATGGCGGGGCTTTTGCCTCTTGCTCCAACGAGGTCAAACTGCCACACCGAAAGCCAATCGGGAAGTGCCTTGCTAATCGGCCACGCTCTGACGCTCTAGGGTATCTCACCACTCGCCACAGTCGCCTGAGATGGCTGCATCGTTGCGAATGCTTTGAGATCCCGATCTGATATTTACAGGGAAGAAGATAGAGAGCGCGTACGACTCGGGGTATGCGGGTGTGAAGGCGACTATGGGGGCACTGAATCTATTCGTGACACGGAACCAAGGTGCAGATCTAATCGACGAAGGTTTCCCAGTCGGCGCGGGGACCCATGCTCTCCATCTCGTCGCGAACCTGCTGGAGGTAGCCGGTCCAGCCCTGGAGTTCGGCGCTTCCCCACCTGTCCTGTACGGCGCGTACAATGTCGAGCTTGACCGAACCTTGCTTGAGGGGCAGATCGGCGAGCTGGGACTTGGGCAGCTTTCGTTGTTGGTCTGGTGCGAGGGCAGGAAGACCGAGGATGGAGCGGGTGCGGGCGACGTCGAATTCGACAATCTTTGTGATGAAGGGATCGTACACCTTGAGCAGGTTGGACGTGGGAATGTAGGGTTCCTCGATCTTCACCTTTTCGTCGTTGAGCAGCGTCATCGGGATGCGGGACTCGTCGCCACGGCCGCAGGCTACGTGGTAGCAGGGCACTTCGGCGAGGTGCTTGCTGGTGGGAGCGGCAGGGTTCTTGGGGTGCAGACGGTGTGTGGTGGGGAGTTTTTGGAGTGCATGGGCGGATGCGGTGATTGCGAGGATCTGATTGACTGCAATGTCGACGGGAATGACGTCGAGGCCGGCGTTGGGGAAGATGATGTTTGGGTCTGCGCACTGGGCGGCGAGTGCAGCACAAACTGGGCTAGAAGGGTGACCAGCACCCCAGGCGATGCGGGGGAAGTCGATGGCAGGGCCGAGGGTGGCAAGACGCACGATTCGGCAGGTCTTTCCGTGGAGCTTTCGGCCTACTTGGGAGGTGAAGAGCGAGTTGACGCACGACTCGGCGTAGGTCTTTGCCTGGAAGTAGGTGTTGACATGTTCACCTTGCTCGTCGACCTGTGTACCACACCCTTCGGGGGTAAGGGACTCGCTGACGAGCGAGCCGTTTTTGAGGTACCAGCCGACAAAGGTGGTGGATACGTGGATGTGGGTCTTTACGTTCCAGGTGAGGAGGGAGAATCTTGCGGTGAAGTAGGCGAGGTCTGCCATTGACTCGAAGGCCTTGGAGATGGGCAGCGTGAAGCGCGTGTCGCCCGCACAGTGGATGACGATCTCCGTCTTGCGCACCTTCTCGAATTCAGCTTCGTCGAGGCCAAAGTTGGGGCGTGCACAGTCGCCGTTGACGACGACGAGCTTTGGCAGAGCGCCTTCGGACTGGGGCTGTGTGTGGTGGTGGACGGACTTGGGGAGACGCTTGAGCGCATCCTGCTCTGTCTTACCGCGCACGATGGCTACAACCTGCTTGACGTTGAAGGAAGCATCGCCGAGGAGACGGTGGAGGAGCGCTGCCCCGACAAATCCGGCTGCGCCCGTGATGAGGATGCGCGAGCCGCTGAGCACATCCTGGATGGTCTGGTCGCGCACGATGGCGTCGTCATCGGTGTGCAGGTCGTTGACCGCATCAACGATGCTGGTGGCATCGGACGAGATGTCCGTAGCGGAAGATCTCTCTGTGCCGCTGGGGGAAGGGCTACGAGTGGAGGACATGATGAGCAGGGCAAGGGGGATGGCAAGGGGGGATGGTTAGACTTGATGGTGGTAGCGTGAGAGAAGGAGTCGAGCAGCGTGATGTGAGCTTAAGAGGCGGGGAGCAGGACGAGCCGGACCGGTGGTCAGGAGGGATGTCGGAGACGGGGAACGCGAGGAATGACTACCGAGGTGGGTTACCAAGCAAGTGCTTACGGGGAGCAATGTATGAGGAGGCCGCGGTCGCACGACGCTGGAACTGCGACTGGAGGAGAGGCTCACCAGCTAGTACCGACAGCGATGCAGGGGCAGCTGCGGGAGCGGAATGTGATAGGGCCCTTGATTGGCGATGATTGGATGAGCTGCAGCTTGTGAGGGAACAAAGGTCCTAGGTGCTGCGACAGGCGGCAAGGGAGGAGGCACGCATGAGTGGCACACAATGGAGCGAGGGAGACTGAAGCGGCCGAGACATGGCTCTGCGCAATTTGGCATCCCAACACGTTCCGCAGGACTGACGGCGAGCGGGACGAAACGTGGAGGACAGAATGGTGCCGGGATGAGGAGAGGAGGCAGGGCTGTGCTGTTCTGGGCCGAGGCGCAGACAAGGTTAGCTTCGGTGGGTCTGGGATAGTGGCAGTGGCAGTGTCAGTGGCAGTGTTGGAAGCGCTGCAGCCTCGCTGCACCTCTGCGTCCAACGGAAATGGAGCAGGAGACGAGGGGGAGTTGAGGACGAGCCGTGCCAAAGTGTGCCAAAGTGCGCCAAAGTGTGCCCAAAATCTGTCAAACTTGGATGCCACGTTTTGGCTGTCGATCGATCCGAACGACGCCCTGCTGAAATAGAATCCGGCGGCCCACAGCTCGGCTGCACGAGCCTCGGCACTGGAGCAGTCTGGAGATGGAAATAGGGCATGAACATGGCGCAAAAAGGCGCGTCGGCAGCTGTGCTATTTTGGCCGCGGCTCCAGCCGAGACCAAAGACCCTGAGCCAACGGCGGCATCCCAGCGGCATCCTCGGCACGACTCTAGCCTGGCCCGCAAAGCAAAGAAAGCATCGGCATCATCCCGCCCTCATTCGGAGCGAGAGCGCAGCGCGACATCGGCTCATCCGCACCTCTGAGCATTACATTGATCATCACCTGCTCATCACTTTCTCAGTTGACCGTGTCATGGGTCAGCACTCGGAGAGCTCCGAGGCTGGTCGGAGCGGAGGTCAAGCAGAGTGGGGACGGGCGGCGTCCCAAATGGGCGGCGCAGACAATACTATAATTTTAATCTGCCAATTGTTGGCACTCGAGCCTGCCGAAGGCGTCCCCCCCGGATATGCGCGTCTCTAGCTCTATGCAGGCTGCTGCACTTCAACCGGCCAAACCCGCTTGGCTGCCCTCACTCGGCGCGCTGGGATCCTCCCCAGGAGCTCCGGCCACCGGCGGCGGGCTGGCATCGGCAAGCCATTCTTTGGCGGTTTGGGACGCGCAAGGACGCGGCATCCCTCCGGCACCATGCATATAAGGCATTGACTTCGAATACGTGCTGCATTTCAAGCTCCTCTTTTCAACCGCCGATCCAACGCAATGCAGAAAGACCGGCGCACGTTTCTACATGTTTCTTACCAGCCTCACACAGAGATGCGCGGGGAAGATCCAGCTTGGCCGGTCAGCCGGCGCTCCTGGGCCTCTCCGCCTTTGTCGAGCCTGCGGTCGTAGCCTGGCCTTGCCGACGGTGATCCTATCTCTTTCGAGCCTCTCTCCCACTCGCCGCTCATAGCGCGTCTCACTGACTTGGAAAGCGGCCCTGGTTCCGCTGGACTCTGCGTGCCTCCACCGCGCTCTGCCTGCCCGCATTACCCCGCCTTGCTTGGTCCGTTGTAGTCGATCGGAATTATGGCTCAGGCTCGCATCTCCGTCGCTGCAGACACCTCGGCGTGCCATTGACACAGGTCCAGACCCATCATCAAGCCAAGTTGCAGCTGCTCGAGATGAGTTGAGAATCGACGCGTTCCAGACCCATTGAAAAAAAAAACCAAATGCTGTGCTTTTTGTTCTACGGACGCTGCATGCATGTCTCTTCCGACATGCATCTTTTGCAGACACAGCCTTTGCGCCTCTTTGCAGCTGCCCACGTTTTGCGCCGCCTTCTTTTCAAGCCTAGCCTTGTCCAGCTGCGCATTCTGCTGTGCGCAGAAGGGAGCGTCCAGAGCGGCTGCGCTGGCGGTGCACCCGCAAGGGCTCGGGGCGAGGCGCAGATGCCGGCTGTCCCCAATCGAACCGTTGCCGTGGCACGTCCCCTTTCATTCGCTAGCCCAGTCAGTCGCGTCGACAGCATCAGTTCGGCATCCCCCCCTTCGCCGTTCAAGCAGTTGCGTATCCAGCCCACTCTCAACGGCCTCCTCAACTGCATGCAGAATGACCGGCTAACCCCCCGGCCACCAGCTCAGCTAGATCGTGAGCGCGAGCGTGAGCGCAAGCGGCTTCCCATCGGCTAAAGCGTTGTCGCCCCGAGCTTGCCATTGCTTGCTGATTGCTCCCACTTGCTACACTCTGGTAGTCCGATACTCCGCTCAACTCATTGGCTCTTGGCATTCGCTGCTCTTGTCACGTTCGGACCGGGGCCACCGCTTGATTCAGCGCTTCGGGCTCCACTCCTCGTCAGATCGCTGCGTGAGCCAAGCCCTGGAAAAAGCGCAGCTGCTGCTGCATGTGCATGCCTACTGTAGCTCGCTCACAAGACCCATCACACAGCACAGCATCGCGTTCCACCGGATCACATCCTCCCACGTCACATCACATCACTCATCGCACCCGTCACAGCACGGCACAGCCGAACACAACGCGAAACGCAGCACTGCAGCTGTCGATCCACCGGCTCTGACATCCGAACAGCCCTGGCCTCTCTCGTCGCCGTCGTCGCCGTCGTCCCTTTTTACCTTCACAGCCGCAAGCGCCATCGATACCTGCCCACCACAACACCGCTTTCTCTGTCGTCACTCGGAGGATCGTCTCCAACGAAAGTCTTGGCAATCGTTCAAGGGCAGTGCTGCATACCTGGCTCGCGCACGCGAAGTCTCAAGCTCTAGCTCGCAGCAGCTCCCACTGCATTCCCCGTCCCCAGCTCAGGAGAGCCCTCTTTCATATAATGGCTGCTCAGCCTACGCAAACACATCAAGATGCGGTGGCGGCAGAGGCATTCACCGAGCAGCATGATCCATACTGGCACACAAGCCATCCGCCATCAACGCCAGAGCTGCCATCCTATCCTTTGCATTCGGAGCTGACTTCGACATCCCATCTCGACTCCCAGTCAGCCATGGAGACCACCACACCGCGCGCAAGCATCGAGACAGCCTCGGATCGGACCTCCAAGAACAAGCTCACCGCGCGCGTCCACTTCTTCCTCGTCTTCTCCGCGCTCTGCGTATCCTCCTTCCTCTCGGCGCTCGACCTCACTACCGTATCCACAGCACTCCCCACCATTGTCGCAGACCTCCAGAACGATGCCATCCGCTTCTCCAAACACAGGCCCAACACTCCTTCGCCCCTGCCCAAACCAGGTGCAGGCGGCACCTACATCTGGATCGGTGCAGCCTACACAATCGCAGGAATGGCCATCCTCCCTTGGACAGGCGGTCTCTGCGAGATTTGGGGCCGCAAAGCCATCCTCCTCACCTCGCTCTTCTTCTTCCTCTTTGGCTCCGTCATCTGTGGCGCAAGCCACTCCCTCGAAATGATGATCATCGGCCGTGTCCTCCAGGGCGTCGGCGACGGCGGCATCATCTCGCTGTCAGAAATCGTCGTCGCCGATCTCGTCAGCCTCAACCAACGAGGCACCTACGAAGGCATCCTCGGTGTCGTCTGGGCCGGCGCAAGTGCCATCGGTCCTCCCATCGGCGGCATCTTTTCGCGCAAAAACAGGTGGCGCTGGCTCTTCTACCTCAACATCCCCATCACCGTGCTCGCCATCATCATGATCAGCTGCTTCATGAACATGAAGACTCCCAAAGCAGACGTACGCTCCAAGGTGAAGAGCATGGACTGGACCGGCAACGCGCTCCTCATCCTCGCCACCGTCGGCTTGGGCTTGGCGCTCACCTGGGGCGGCGCAAGGTACAAGTGGATCTCGCCCGCCGTGCTCATCCCGCTCGTCATTTCGGTCCTGCTCTTTGGCGCCTTCTTCTACCTGGAACTCTTTAAGCTCAAAAACGCCACGGTGCCACGCGAGCTGCTCAACAACCGCACCGCCATCGGTGCGCACCTCACCAGCTTCATGCACGGCGTCGTCACCATGGGCATCATCTACATCATCCCCACCTACTTCCAGGCGGTCAAGCTCACATCCACCATCATGAGCGGATGGATGGTGCTGCCCTTTTCGTGCACCGTCGCGTTTGTCGCTATCGGCTTTGCCATCAGCATCGAGATGATGCAACGCTATGTGCCGCAGAACCATCTGGGCTGGTTCTTCACCGTGCTGGGTGTGCCGCTCTTACTGCTGCTCGACCTGGATTCCAAGGCGGCGACGTGGGTGTCGGTGCAGGTGCCCATCGCGATCGGATGCGGGATCCTGTTTGTCGCTCCGCAGTTTCCCGTGCTGGCATCCGTGGCGGTCGAGATGGCGAGCAAGGCGCTTGCCCTGCAGCTCTTCTTTGCCTCGTTTGGTCAGACGCTGGGCATCATGTTGGCGGAGGCCGTGTTTCAGAGTTCGGTGCACAAGTCGATCAAATCTCCGATCATCCAGACGCTGGCGGCCAACGGATCGTTGCCGTTCAACATCGAAGACATCTCGTCGCCCTACTCGATGCACTTTTCGGCGCTGCGCCATCTGTCGCCCGAGGCGTCGCACGCGGTGCGCAGCGTGTACAACTCTGCGCTGCACGACGTGTGGATTCTGTTGATCCCGTTCGCCGCCATTGGATGGGCGCTGTGCTTCCTGATCAAGGAGCTCGAAATGCACGACGAGGTCGACGAGAGGTTCGCCGCCGATGTGCGCGACGAGGACGATGATCCCGAGAAGAATGCGCTTCGTACGCCCAAGGTCGAGTCGCACGAGATGAAGCAAAAGCACCAACCCACGCATTCGATAGAGACGCAGTAGACCGATAATCATGCACCAATCATTAGACCAAATGTAGAACATGTTGCATGCCAGCTGCCAAAAGACTGTGTGACGACAAGTGTGGAAAGGCTGCGAATGCGAGATGACGACGACGTGGCGATGTAGGCACCACGACCAAAGAGGTGCTTAGGTGGCCACGCTTGACTCGCTGCCCACTCTCGCATCTCTCGGGCATTGAATCTCGACTCTCGCGTGCGCGTGCACCAGGTTGGCGAGGCGGCGTCTATCGTCGAAACGCATGACGAAGTCGAACGCAAAGCCTTCTGGTTTGCAACGACGCACTCGACTCGAACGTCGTGACGAGGACATTTCATTCCCATCCAAACCCCCAAGCTGACCCTTAAAGCTGTGTGGGCCCGCCAAACGTGGTCCGTCTCGACCCACGCCATCCTCACTTCTCGAACTCTCAACCCAACCCTTCCCTTGGTCACGCACACATCGCTGCACTTGGCCCAAAACATGACATGTCTACAAACCCTATCTTAGCCGGCGAATCAATCTAAGCCGCCAAACGTCGTGACGAGCACATACACGTCTGCGACCACGATCTGCCGTACCGCAAAAGCAAGAAAAAGTGTCAGCTTGCGTTCCACCTCTGATCTGGGCACCGTGGGGCTGTGAGTTGTTCGGGAACTTACCACACCAAAGATGGCAAATGCAGGCGCCTGGATGTACCACTTGTTGGCAAAGCACGCCGCTTTCGACTCGGCCTGCGGTGTCTGCTCGTGTGCTTGCTGCTGCGTTTGCGTCTGCGCGTCGACTGGGTGGCGGGGCAGAGTGTTGGTCAAGGCCAACTCGGGTTGTGGCTCGAGCGGCGTTTTAAGCGCCTGGCTCTCTGACGCTGGCGTATCCTGCTCGCCCACAATAATGTCGTCCGCTCGTGGCGAAGGTCGCTCGATCTGAGCGCTTGATCGTGTCGACGAGGCTGCCGACGCGACCTCGGATCGGACACTGACGGCGGGTGCCTCTTTTGCGGTCATCCTTGCCTTGTTGCCCGTGACGAGGATGAGGGGCAGGAGCACAAAGGGCAGCGCGATGCTGAGCGCAACCTGGCTTGCGACGAGCATTTCATCCAAACCTTCCTTGCCGACGGCGAGCGAGACTGCCAGACTGGGGATGACCGCGACGAGGCGCGTGATGAGCCTGCGGATGAAAGGGTCGGTGCGCCAGTTGATGAAGCCTTCGCTGACGAGCTGTCCGGCGAGGGTGACGGTGATGCTGGCACTCTGGCCTGCAGCCAGCAGTGCGACGGCAAAGAGCACGGCTGCGAGGCTGCCGAGGCGCTGCTTTAGGAGGTAGAATGCGTCGTAGAGGCTTGCGACGACGACTTGGCCCGGGCCTGTGCGCGAGTCGGTGTAGTAGAAAGCGGCGGCGGCGACGATGAGGATGGCCGAGTTGATGACGATGGCAAAGCTGACGAGCGACATGCCAATGTCGACGGAGGCATGTTTGAGGTGGATGCGGATGCTATCGAGCGTGCGTGGAGGCAGGTTTTTTTGCGCCGGGTCGTGGTAGCGGCTGCGGCCGCAGCGTCTAGGAGTGACACTGTCGAGCGATTCTGCACCGTCGTCGGCGTCAGTGTGATGGGGGTTTGTACGGTGCTGGATGAGCGAGCGCACGACGCGGGAGAGGCGGATGACCTCGGACTTGGCGTGCGACTTTTGGCTAAAGGTGCGTGAGAAGGACTGGCGTACGAGTGCCCAGGTGCTGTGGACCTGTTGTGGGGCTTGCGGGGTACCCTGTGGAGCGGGCGAGTCGAAGGAAGGTTCGTCGGTGTCGAGGCCGGGAAGGCGGTCGATGGAGGCAAAGTGGGAGCCGAGGATGATTGCGTGTGGCATGACGGTGGCGCCGAGGATGCCTACGCTGACGTAGAGGGCGCCGCTCTGGACGACGTGATGGGAGGGTAGGTAGCCGTGGAATACGTCAGGCCAGCGTGGCTTTATGCGAACAAGGAGGACGATGAAGCAGGAGAGGACGACAAAGACGAGCACAGAGACGATGGCCTCGAGGAGGCGGAAGGAGCCGTTGGGAGGCGGGCGGTAGATGAAGAGGATGAGGATGACGTCGACCGAGGTGACGAGGATGCCGGCCCAGAGCGGAAGCGCGGGGAAAAGGAGGTTGAGCGCGATTGCGGATCCTGTGAGTTCGGCGAGCTCTGTCGCGACGATGGCGCCCTCTGCGATGGCGTAGAGCGGATAGAGGAGGCCCCACCTCCTCCATTTTGGATGGGAGACGGGTTGGTGAGGAGGGGTGCCGTGGCGGTCCTCGTTGAGGATGAGCATGCGGCACTGCCTTGCGAGGTCAGCGTTGGTGACGATGCCGAGGCGACACGAGAGGATCTGGATGAAGACGGCAAAGATGCCGGTGAGGAGCACGATGAAGAGGAGCGAGTAGCCAAACTCGGAGCCGGCCTGGAGGTCGGTGGCCCAGTTGCCTGGATCTGCGTAGGCGACAGAGGCGACGATGCCTGGCCCGACAAAGTAGGCGTGTCTTCGCACGACACGCACGGTGTTGGTCCAATACGCCGCCATGCGGGATGTCCAGGTGGGTGTTGGTGGTGGTGGTGGTGGTGGTGGT